GATGCGAGTCTTCAGAGACGTTTACCCTGGAGGAGGACCACTCCGACTGGCTGACGGCCTCGCTCTGATATTGATCGAGTTGTGAACGACTGCGCGTGTCACAAAATCAAAGTGGGTAACCATTGAGGTCACCCGCATTTAGTTACTGCTGGTTTTCGAATGCTATGCTTTCTTCAAGAAAATATACGGATTTGGTGCATTAATTCAAAAGAATTATTGGACGTTCTGTCCATTTAGTGTATGAGATCTGGAAATGGAAAACCATCAGCTCTTTACGCCACTGTGTCGTGTCTCTTGTGCATTCACCTGGGGTTACGTGAGCTAAAATTAGCCTGCCAATTATGAGCAATTAGCATCAGGCCTTTAAGGCCCCACAGTGGATTCACTCCCAAACACCCTGTTCTGCGTCACACCACTTTAACCACTCGCCGGCATGGCCGCTGAGTACCTACACTCAAGTGGAAGTTGATTCATCACTTCCATGACATAAATTGTCATTCAAATTTTCTGCTCGTGGTCTTAAAAGTTGACGTTAGCGCCCTATTGTGCTAGTAAAAAAAAGTTATTGTCGATCCCTGGGCCCAGCCTTTATAAAGTGTACCTGGAAAAGCTGTCGAGGACCATTTATTTCCATTACGTGTTAAAAAAGTTTTTTTGTTTAACATTTTGGCCGCGTCCCTCTTGTATCACCTCAGATGTTCTCACAGACAGCCCATAAGGAGAGAAAAGACTTATTATGATGGCAGATTACTTCTCTGCACAGATTAGGCCCCTGGCATATGAAGGAAAGTGGGTCATGTTTTTTTTTTTGGGGGGAGGGGGGCAAGGGAGAGAAATTGTTGAGGGTTTGAAGCCAATTATTGGAGTTCCTCAACATCCCTCTGAATTCCAGGTCAGGAGCGGTTCGGGAACATGACGCGGGTGTACTACAAGGAGGCGGTAGGGGCCTTCGTGGTTTTCGACGTGACCAGGGGCTCCACGTTCGAGGCCGTGTCCAAGTGGAAGCACGACCTAGACAGCAAGGTGAAGCTGGCCAACGGCAGCCCCATCCCCTCGGTACTGCTGGCCAACAAGTGTGACCAGAAGAAGGAGGGTTACAAAGACACGACGCTCATGGATAACTTCTGCAAGGAGACGGGCTTCCTGGGCTGGTTCGAGACATCCGCCAAGGTGAGGCATACATCGGCACACCTCTTTCCCACAACTGAATACGCTCACTCCATTTCAGGCAATTCTACGCTTTCACTTCTGTCAGAACTATGACTGTGTCATTTCCATAAAGGCATGCTTGTACTTTGCTTGAGTTTGGTGGGAAAGCACCTGAGAGCCCCGACCTCAATTTTATCAGAGACCTTTGGCAGAAAATAGCTGTGCTGACCACTTGCTATAGATGCCGTGAGCATAAGTCTCAATACTTTGGCCTGTTCGAAGTATCTTGTCGCGAGATTGAAATCTGTTTTTGTTCTTCAAGTAACGAGTGCACTTCCTCTCACGGGAAGCACAAGTCCTCCCGTAGGGGAAGCCAACCCTGCTTCTTCTTTCAGTCTGGCGCAATCATGGTGGTTACGACTGCGCTCTGTCTTTGGTTCAACACAGGCGTTTTCAAACCACTTCAAGATGTTTTGCGCCTGCCTTGGCTGCTGTGATATCACATGACAGCGATTGAGGGATGCTGCAGTCCACACAGCTAACAGGGTTAGAGGTCATCTGAGAGATAATTGTGTTGCAGTGTTGCGGTCAAGATGTCACAGGTTACCGAGTTTATGATCTGCGCACTTTTTTTTTTTTTCAACAAAACAAAAAAAAAAAGACTTGGGCTTGTTTGTCTGTTTAAATTCTTTCCGTCCCATATGGACAGCATTAGTTTTTTGGGAAGCATTTTTTTCTCCATATCATTTTTCTCACAACTATGCCACTACATAATGTTTTTTTTTCTCCACTTTTGTCGAGCTTAGTGGTGGTTAGCTCTTTATAGGAGTGTCTCATTATACCGCAGATGCATTACAAAGCCCACACATAAAATGGTGGCCAGAGCACAGACAGCAATGTTGTTGTGATATTTAGCTAGCTAGTTAGCTAGCTAATGCTGATTGTAAAACGTATTAATGTGTAATCGACATTTTTTTTTGCTTCTCGAATGTGTTTGGTCTTATCGGCCAATCAGAGGACAGAAAAATGCTGATGTCATCACAGGTGAGCTCGTAGGCTGTATCAAGATGAATTAGAAATCTCATTGGATAAATAATTTATTTATATACAGTGCCTGTATATAAATAAATAACAATCTCAAATCCTCATCCACATACTGGAAGCAGTAGAGGCGAGAGAAATGTGACGAAATGATGAAGACAATAGGCTGCTGGGAAAAAAAAATCATCCAATTTCATGCAAACAAATCGAAAACAAAATGGAAGCAGTATGCAATTTCACAACAAATTACACGACAGTATAATAAAAGACCCAGTACGGTTTGCTACTTTCTTAATGCATGGTTCAGTGTCCCGCCACTTCCTCATCTTGTATATACATACACACACACACACACACACACACACACACACACACACACACACACTCACACAGCCTTAACTCGACGTCATGTGAACAGAGGCGGGTACAGCGCGGCCGTGACGGGCCAGTTCGTGTTGGTGCGTGACACGGCGACCAATCGCTTTGACTGGAATGGCGATACGTCCGTCTGCTGCCTGTCATGAGGGGAAGTGAGCGAAGCACTCAAGTCAGGAGATTGTAATGCTTTACCCAAGCAAAAAAAAAAAAAAAAGTTGATCATATGACCAGAGTCACATGCTTTGCATTGATCACGACTGTGAGCTTTGAACATCAGATCGGACTCGAGTCACAAGTTTTCATTCATAAACAAGAATTGACTTGTGTTTGTGTTTCTTTATTTATTTATTGTTTTAAAAGATGCGCAGTTCTGGAACAGGCGCAGGGAAAACTCATTAATATTCATTACTTCTTTAATCTACAGTGTGACAGCTTCTGGCTTGCAGTGTGAAGGACAAAAAAAAAAAAAAAAAAAGTGTGTTTTCACTTTGTCTCTGATGGCCTCTGGCTGCCTGCTAAAATCATTTGCCAGCTGTTGCCCAAACATATCACTTCATCGAAAGATATGTTCACTGGACTAACGGAACAATATTGCCGTCTGGCACGTCAGGGGGCTTCCTTGACAAATAATAAATTGTTCACATTTGTCAACGTGATATGGTCATTAGTAACCTTGCAGCGCACAATTGCCCACTCTTGCTGTGATTCAGACTTTCTTGTCATTCTCTTTTTTTTTTTTTTTTTACAATTGAAACGTACGAATGGCTATTGACTTTGTTCCTCCTCCAGGACAACATCAATGTGGACGAGGCGGCCAAATTCCTGGTGGAGAACATCTTGGCAAACGACAAGGGCTTGCCGTACGAGGAGAGCAACGGAGACCGCATCAGACTGGACCAGGAGACTGTGGCGGCGGAGAGCAAGCCGGGCTGCTGCTAACATTCGATACGTTCACACTAACAGACACAAAACGCGCCCCTGACGCCGTCATCCCCTTTCGGTGCAAGCCAGGGCGGGGAATGTTTTGGGAGGACTGAGGCTTGGTTTCATTTTATACATATTTTTTTTGAATAGTAGCTTTCCCAACAGCAACGTGTTATCTTGATAGCCTCCATAGATCTTCACAGTCTCTATCATCCACCTTCAAACCACTCTACGTTTGTTTTCGTTGACAGTTTTATTCCACCACTAAGAATTAATCCCAAGCTGTAAATACTTGAGATTGGTCTGTTGTTGGACCTGGACTTTACCTGTCGACAAGGACTGGGGGGTATCCAGCTCTCCATCCATGATCTGAACCACTTAATGCGGGTGTGCTAGAGCCTATCCCAGCTGACTTTTGGTAGTAGGCGCTGTAAACCCTGAACTGGTTGGCAGCCAATTGCAGGGGCTGTTGCAATTTTTTTTAGTTTATTATTATAATTACGTTAGACAACCTGCACACCCTTGCTGCCTTTTATGTGTGAGATACTTCACTTTTGAGTGCTTGCCACTGTGTATGCAAAAGGGGTATAACGCCTTTTTTCCCCCCTTAAAAAACAAAAAAACAAAACACCCTTGCACTCTTGTTTGTCGTTCTGCATTCGATTTGACGACTGTGCCATAGTTAAGCATTAACGGTGTTACTGTGCTGTTTGTACAGCTGTAAACGTGATTTGTACAGCAGTTCTGACATATTCGGCTGTATTTCCTCAAATAAATGCCTCTGCAATTGAATAAAAAATCCCCCCGGTGTTATTTGAGGAAATACAGATTTGTTTTTATCTTACTCAATAATACATTGTTTTGAACACTTAGGAAGGAACACTCTATTTTAGGAAGCTCAAAGTGGCGATAAAGATATACTGTATCTGATTTGCGATATGCGTGGTAAAATGCCTCGGTGCTCATCCATTATTTAATGTCTGAGTTAAAAAAAAAAACATGATCTCCTGTAAATTGTGCATGAAGAGTCGTTAGGTTTACATGTGAAAATATGGTGAGGAGAATAAACAGTTTTACCGATGTATATTAACTGCTTGGTAAATGTTCTCATGCTGTCTCGATTAAATTGAATTTATCTATTGTATTGTGCGTTGTGCAGAGGTGTCGATTCATTGACAATACAAATGCAGTGTTGATGTTTCTACATCATGATAGTGATTGCGGTGATGAAACTTTAACTTCGAGCCGTTCTTATACATAGATTTCCTTTGCTCGGACTTGAAGGTTAAGTTTGAAAGACGTTTTTAATTGAGGGGATTGATTGTATCGATTCTATTATTATTAGTCGTAGTAGTAGTATTTTTATTATTTTAATTATAAAAAAATAATGGAATAATATTGGCATATTTTATATCTTATGCAAACTTTAGTTTTATGGAACTTTTTATCCATAGCAATACATATTAAACGTTTTTAAAACAAATACATTTACTGTACTCGTTTTTTCGTGGTAAAAAGCTGCCAGACTTCCGCATAGCAACCAGACGTAGAACGCGGCAACACACCAAACATTTCAGCGTGAGACCGGAAGAGGGTACGCTACGCACCTGTGGCATGCCAGCCATTTAGAAGAAAAACGCTACTGTTATTACTTTAAAGCCCGTTTCAAGTTTTATGCATTATGTCAGCGGCACAAATACAAAATAACGTGTCCATATACAGTAAAGTGTCTTTATCCGACCAGCGCGCTAAGCGACTTTGGCTTCACGTTGCCCTTAGTTACCGTTAGCTATCTGTCACAAACTAGCCGAGTCTCAAAATTCAAACTCGTGTTAACTTTAAAAGTTCACTCGGTTCACTTTCTTTCCAGTATTTAAATAGTCGATGAAGCTCGAGAATTCGTCGATTGCTTTTGAGAAGATGGCGATGTCGAGTCTCAACAACTTGGCATGGTAGAGAGGCGACATTGAAGGACGTATGACGACGGGGGATTTGCCTGACACACAATGTCAAAAGCTCAATTCAAGAAAAAGGAGTCCACTTCCAGCAAAATATCCGACGTGCAGGCAGAGTGAGTTGGTTTTCGTACTATTATGAAGATTTAGCACTTTTGCCAATACAAGCATGAGCTTCCTGCAACATTTAGGACAGTTTACTTCTTTTTTTTAATTTTACAAAAGCAATTCCACACTGGTGCCAAAACCCTTTATATTGTATTTTAGTGTGAATTCATCTATTTATTATAGTAGTTGCAGTTTGGTGTAGAACTCTACACTCTCTACCCGTGTGGAAGGTGCGCATAATAAAACTTCCACTTACATTCTAAAAACAAGCACGTTAGCCTCATTGAAGAATCTAAATTGTCTCTTGGTGTGCGTGTGAATGGCTGTTAGTTTAGATGTGATTGGCTAGGGGCCAGTCAAATGTGTTCCCTGCCCAAAGTTAGCTGGGTTCGGCTGCAGCCTCCCCAAGACTCTCATTCATACTAGCGCTATGAAACCGAATGAATGGATAGATTTCCCGAGCTGTTTGTGTAGCAAGTGTCTGTCAAATATTCCACTCCCTCACCAAGTTTGCCAACCCAATGAGTAGCGCCTAGAGCAAACTACAACTGCTGCTTGCAGCGCGTCTGACTTGCATCCTCTCCCAATTTCAGAGTATGTTCGGCACCCATCGCTTCCACGGATAGCCTGGATGACGTGTGGCCTGAGTGGAATGACGGAGATGTCTACAGGGAGAAATGGGACTCAGGCAAAGTGCCAGAAGATCCAAAGAAGCCTCCTGTTTTAAATGTAAACGATTGTTAAACTTAAGCGGAACACAAATCGACCTTCGCTACATTTTCCTTTTTCCCTATTACAGCTTTTCTTTGAGGACCCAGAGGGGAGAATTAGTCTTCCGGCTTCTTTGAACGTGCAGTACTGGAGGCGTCCGACAGAGTTTCTTGTCAGCATGGTGAACCTCAACACATGATCACAAAATTGCATTTACTCCAACTTTAAATCCATAACGTGTACATGCGGTCCTTCAAAATGTTGTTTCCTGGTCAAAACACCAGAGGTTGCAGATTTTCCCTTGCATGGAGGTGGTACAGATGCCAATCGCTTGAGTGTGAGTTTGGCCGCGTCGCCTGATGTGGCCTAATGAGGACAAGTGCTGTACAAAATGAATGGATGGAAATTACTCCTCTTTCCCCAAATAGACGCCTGGCACGCTCTGCACTTGGGCAAACAAACTCCCTCAGCCTCGACGAGAGGAAACATGGGCTTTATGGTTCCACAATGATGTTTTAATTGCGACACTTTTCACATCCCTTCACGCGGGAGTGAGCGATTCTTCGAGGCCTTCTTTTTTTTTTTCTTTTCTTTTCTTTGAATAAGTCATTACCAGATCGCAATCTGCCTTTTCACTCCTGATGTCAATAGAGTTTAATTAAATCCCTCCCAACAGGGAAGCCGAGGCCCAAGGCAAGCGCTTCCCGCCGACTCCAGTTTGCGCGCAATGGCGTCTCTCTTCATCTCGGATATCTCAAGCCTGTTTTATCGACGGAAGCGCCGACTCATTGAGGTCATCTCCAGCGGCGGAAACAGAGCCACCCATGACCCTTGGTTGATCTCTGACGCCATCAGCGAATGCAATTGTTAATATTGAATTAGTCATTCTTTGGAGTCTGTTAAGGTGCGAGTAGAATGTTCATCGCGGATGTGGCAGTCAGGGGAGTATCACGGTGAGGCTAGACCAGCAAAAGCCGCCCCCCCCCCCGGGGAAGTGTTAAATAGGCCACACATTGGTGTCGACTTTAAAAAGATTACCTGTGACTGCTGCAAAGTTCTGTGTTGTACCAACGCACTGTTTTTCCACCCATGTGTTTTATTTTAGGTGCCCACAGTTATTGAAAACACACACAGCTTTGACCTGGTGTCCTCCAACCAACATCTGCTACACAGTGAGGTTCGTGGACTTGAGTCGTTGTTCAATATCAAGGGTGCCGAACATAGTCTGGTGAACTCAGGAAGTACGATTTTCCTAAGAACGATGGACACGAATGGTTGTGTCCTTTCCCGATTATGATGTATTTCTGTAAAATGATAAAAGGAGAAAAAAAAAAGCCTCCTCAGCCATTTTGCATTCTTGGTTAATAAATAAAATAAATGCTGATTTCACAGAAGTCAAAATATTAAAAAGTACAAAAGCTCAAATTAAAGCTGAATTTTTACTGTGACTTGTATCCAATATCCATTTTGATATTAACTCACAAGCTATCAAAACAATCTTTTCATTTAGCTTTAGTTATCGTGAACTTTCAAACTAAAATGTAAAATCAATGGAATTAATGATAACTAGCGGGGGGAAAAAATTCCCGTCACCTCGATTTGGGTGCTTTTTCTTTTTCAACCAAATTTTTGAACAGCGGATCCTGTTTTTTTTTTGTTGTTTTTTTTTTAAAGATGGTACGAGACGTGTGCCACAAATCATTCTTATGTGCCAACAGCTAACAATTCTCATAAATATGGAATGGGGGAGCATCATGCTTTGACGAATTTTTTAAGTCATTGCTAAGTCAAGTACATAAACCAGAAAAAGAACTACACTACCAATAAGTTAGACTTGGATACTCTGCAAGACCTTAATGGAGCACCACTGTGAGCTTTGGATCTGGTTTATAGCGTTGCATATTGTTCTCTCCTTCTTCCCAAGTTGATGAGGTGGATCATCAGTGAGATCTACATCGTTTGGAAACTCTTTCACCACCGCGAAGTTTCCGACCATTACGGCTGGAAACCTTGGGAGCACATCTACTCGCTGTGCAAGCCGGGGAAAGGCCACGTGCCGCTCTTCAACAGCTACGGGAAATACCTGGTGCGCCTCTTCTGGATGGTGAGTGTCATGCGGAAAAAATGGACCCTCAATTCCTCCTTGAAAGTCAGCAAAGGAAAACTAATGCAATTAACGAAGCTGTGAAAATATCATCTCCATTGACCTCCAAAGAACCAAAAACATGAATACGGTAGCTCGCTCTTCACAATTCCTACAAGTCTACTTGTCAGAGAGCTTTGGATCAATGGCCACTGGAGTAAGAAGAAGCCTTTTAGAAGTTAAGTACACACTACTCCAAATTCAATTGCCCTCGATTTAACCCTCCCCGGATAACTCCGGCCTGGATACTGGAGAGTTTTCACAGGCACTACTAGTTCAGACTGGCTTTATTTAGTGTTCTGTCCAATTGTACGCTTGGATTCGATATTAGGTTTGGGCAAAGTAAGTGCGAGAGGGACAAAAATGCTATTTTATATCTGACGAAAATGCACACCTCTGTGTAAAAAACCTGCTCTTAATACATTTTCATTGCATGTGGAAAAGAGCCACCATCCTAACCCAACAACAAAGAGTTGAGTACAAAAAAAAACAAACAAACAAAAAAAAAACAACAACAAATTCCCCAGTGAAAAGGGCTTGCTTGCATTACCTTTCAAGGATGGCACAAAACTGCTGAACAAGAATTGGAAGAACTCATTTTGTACATTTTTTTCCAACTCACTCAAAATTTTATTAATATTGGGGGTTTATTATTGGCATGCATGTCATTCCAAATCCACAAAAAAAAAAAAATTGGGCCTAGTCACATTTTAGTATGGGGCAGTATAAGACCCAGGGCCTCTTCGGAAAGTCCAATCTCCTGACGTTTATACCACCTTTCCTTCCTATTCTCTGATAAATCATGAAAAGGTCTTTGTAATTATATTTCTGTTTGTAGTTGGCACCTGCGGATTTGCATTTTCGCAGACTTGTTTTTATTGATTGAATATTTTTTCATATTTTGGAGCCTTTGTTTTTTTCCCCCCCATTTCTCATTGGAAAATGTATAGTCAATGTTTATGAGTGGTTTTTTTTTTTTTTTTTTTTGGGATGGATTCAAAGAAAAATCCTCAAAATGTTATTAAAAAAATATATAATTTGGGGAGGGGAAACTGTCGTCCCGTGAGCTATCAGCTGCCCATCCTTGATCTCTTTCTTGGGGCAGCAGCTTGACAAGAATGAGAGCCATATTTTATCAACTCGCATCACGTACTGGCCCGGTGGCGGACAGGTGCAGCTGTGAACAGGTTATTAACGCCCGTGTGTGTGTGTGTGTGTGTGTGTGTGTACCGCTCGCCGCTCTATGTGGTGTCGTTCTCCGCCGCCCCAGACAGGTCCTGATGACACACACTGTGCTAAGACACAAACTTACTGCTTGTTTGTTTCCAACAAATGAGTCTGGGGGAAGAAAAAAAAAAGTCTTTCCTCTGTGCATTCAGGGTTGCTGGAGGAAGATAACGGTGGATGATTCCATGCCGTTCGACAAAGACCACAATCTGCTGCTGCCGGCGTCCAGCTGTCGGGCGGAGCTGTGGCCCATGCTGTTGGCCAAGGCGCTCGTCAAAGTTATGAACACAAGGCCGCTCAGTGAAAATGTCAACAGGAAGTGAGTGGCATTGTTTCAGTATTTTTTTTTTCCAGGACGGTGAAGCAACACAAAACCCCTTTTTAACCGTATTGCAGGTACGATTCAGTCCAGTAAACAGCAAGACAAAAAATAATAATAATGGGCTGTTCGAAAATGGCCACGATGGAGCCAAAAGGTCGAATTTGATGTAAACAGCATTTTATTGATATTTAGTGTTGTAAAATGACAAAATCAGACAAAAGTCCCCACCCATCGCGAGTTTCATTACATTCGCATTAAAATACAGTCGCTGAACAAAACGGAGTGAGTTGGATGCAAATGACCAGTACAGAGTCCCAAGTGGTTCAAAGAAACTGTTTAAAAATGTTGATTTATTCATGTATTCTGCTGTGTTGCACGTCGTCAGTTAGTGCGCAGATCCATATTTGTGGTGCATGCAGTGAACACAACGAGAGCACAAATACCCCTTCCCCCCCCCCAACAGCCACCGCATCGACACCACGCATTGACTGTGTTTTAGATTTAGATTTACCCGGTGGTTTAATTTCAACCACGAGACCCATTTATTTGTTGGCAAGCAATTAAAAAGTGAAGTGCTTTAAACTCCTGCAGCCATATTTTGCTGACTCAATCCAGACCTTGGTTTGACCTCATTCCTGTGTCAAACTTACTGGCATGTCACTGATGTAGCACCGTGGCGTGTGTAGAAAAGTGCGTGTTCCGTTGTCCACTGAAGGTTGACCGACGAATTAATCTTTCATCTGAAACAGGAAACAAAGGACACAGGACAATCGCCCCTCCCCACCGTAGCATTCATAAGTCACAGTAGTGTAGTTTTTTTTTTTTTTTTTGGTCTCCTGGGCAAAGGTGTATTTTTAAGCTGAGTTGGTGAACTTCTGTTGAGGATTCATTTCCTTGAGTGCCATGACTGTGGACCAAACACCGCGATTCCCAAGTGGGCCAATTAGAGCTTATTGGGCCATCTGTTTCTGCTGACACATACTCACTGTCAAACACGGTGATCCACAAGAGCGCTTGAAAGTTCTGAAAGTGCTCGGATGTTGATAAAAGACATTTTTGGATTTAACCAGATGAATAATGTGAGTCATGGTGTGAGAGTGGATTTTCTGTGGCTTCGTCGTCATTGTGTGGCAACTTCTTTGACTGATATGCCGAGATACTCCTCTTTGCCGAGATAAAACATTTTGGATCGTCTGTTATGTCCTTGATGCGGCAATTTTGGACAATTGCTCAATTTTCTTTTTTTTTAAATTTATTGTATTTTATTGATTTTATTTATTCATTTATTTATTTTTTTGGAAGGCACTGACACAGCCAGTCTTCCTCAAGCAATCGTCATTTACAGAATAAAGCCTGGCCGACCTTTTCTTTTTTTTTCCCCCTTTTCTTCAAGATACAAGTCGTCGAGCGGCCACCTTTTTATTTCTTGTATTTTTAAAATTATGAGTCGCGGGCACAAGCTTGAGAAACAATCACTACATGGTGTGGCCCAAGTCAGATATAATTAATTAAATTCGTATCCCAGGGCACCACCCTTTTCAATATTCAAGACTCCTCATCAGCACAAAGCAAGGTTCCTTTAAAATGGCCTTGTTCATGGATGGTAATGATCATTTGTATTTATGTCATCATTTCCTATTGTTGCGCCTGTAATTTGTTTTTCCCTCTCAGTAAAATGGCGCAGCTCTCCGATGAGATTGGAGAGTTCAACTTCATCCACCATCTTACCGGCTGGATCCCGGAATTCAGTCCGATAAAGTAAGAGTTTCATGTGTCCGGTGTACCGCTCCATATAATTAAGTCTTGCTTATTATTGTGGGCAAAGAACTTGCAATACGTCACAGTAACAAAACAAAACCAAAAAAAGCACACACACGACTGTTTCTTGAACCTCCTTCCAGCTACGTGTGCCGTCGAAAAACGTGGGATTTCTTACAAGGCAGCATCCCGGAATTCATCCACAAATCCCCTAAAATGCAGCCCAAGAAGAGTCGCGCACAATTGAGGTGGAGTTTGGCCCTCAGTGAACACAGGAGCCATCGGGACACGGACAAAGGTCAGGTCACAAACACGGTGCACAAGCGCCACTTTCTTTTTTCGCTCATGTCTTACGGAGCGCGTTCTTAATGACCTTTTGGGGAAATGACACTTGACGCACCTGTTTCGCAGGGAGCCCCAAATTGGTGGTGTGCGCCAGCTTCTATCCCAATCAGCTGCATGACGACCCCTATGTGTACACAAAAATGGTATGTATGTTGCCGTTATCTGTATTTGGAGAGTCTCTGTGAATCGCGGCTGCTTTGTGGGATTGTACATTGCGACGCTTGCATCTGTTCAAAAGTACAAAGGACTACGATGGAGTAAAAGGGGGAAAAAAACGACTGTTGCAGCACAGTGTGAGTAGAATAAAGTCTTGGAGTAGGAACATAAAGTATTGTACAACATATTTGTTAAAAAAAAAAAACACACACACACACACATTCCACAGTCACCTTTTTGTTTTCAGCACAAGGGAATCCCAACAATTTTTTTTTTTTTTGTGTGTGGTATTGCATCAAATACTTTTTTTTTCGACTTTTGTCCAAATTTTACAACCTTTTTTCGATTTTGAATAAAATTATAACACTCGTAATATTTTGACATTGTGCTCCTAAAGAGACATTTTTTTTCGATGTGGTGTTATTTTGAGAATTTTTTAAAAATTATTTGATTTTCATAAAACTTAAATATTTTGTTTGTTACTTTGTTTTTACATCAAATAGTCACCTTTTGCACACAAATAAACACACATAAAATGGCATCTTTTATTATTCTTGTAAAATTACATCTTGAAATGTTACTTCGTCGACATCAAATGATGTTTTCACCTAAACTTCAACTTTCATCTTCTTCTCGCAAAATTACGGCCCAAATTGGAAATGTACTGACATATTTTTCATGATTTTGTTATATTATTCCTTGTAAATTTCACTTGAAGTTGCATTTTATTGTCTTTCTTGTTAATTTTGACATTTTCTTTGATTTCTGCGCCTTCCCCGTTTTCTTGCCTTCTACAGGCCGACTCCTCTGAAGCTCTCCGTCGCTACAACCTCTGTCTGCGCCACAGCCACGTCGTCCTGTTGACCCAGACCCGAACGTGCCCCTTGGTGTTACCGTCCCAGCCTCCGCCTGAGCCGCAATGGAAACTGTTCCGCAAGAAAAGCGAGAAGCCTGTGATCAGCGCCGATCCACAAAGTAAGCGGGAGAGAAAGAGAACCGAGGCGAGAGGGGGCTGATGTGCATACAGAGGCGTATATCAAAACCATTGTGTGAAATTCTGTGATACGGTGTAGGTGAATGTCATAGATAAATAACGAGTAGAGAGCAAAGCAAATTCTAAATCAGGAGGAGATGTGCATGGGAGGTTATACAGCGTTGGAAGATCGCCACAATATTTCAACAGTGAGACTTGTGGCGAGCTTATGTCTGACGTCATTCAGACAAGAAATGAGATCAAGCGAGGTCGTGACGTGCGCTTCCGCTCTCGCAGTCATACCCGTGTCCGAACCTGAGGAGTTCATCGGCATCGCCAGCCCCTTCATCGACCAGCGTGTCAAGAGCCCCCCGAGCCGACCCGCACAGCGGTGGGTGTGCTCTCAAATATTTTGGAAGGATGAATCATATCTGCGATTGTATTCATTTAGCTAGCGTTGCAAGACACATGAGTCGTCTCGAGACAACACAGTCCATAGCCACAAAGGTCTGACCGTATGATGCGCTTGTGTCACGATGCCGCGTGACGTTCACACCCACGCTGTGCATCTTTACGTCAGAATGGACAAGTGGAACGTTCCGAAGAAGCTGTCCTACATGCCCCATCTGGACTCCATCCCTGAGGGAGCGGAGAACGAAGGCCGCGAGCCCATCGACCCCGATGCGGCTGAAAGCGACGTTAACCGGGAGAGTGTCGTCGAGGAAGTCGAGGTACCGCTCATCACTCTCTGCAAGGGCACGCGTGGCATCGTTTATGCCAACAGACGCGCACGTGTTAAGGATGCTCGATACCAAGTACCGAAACCTCTCGAACTTTTGATCTGTAAAATTTTTTTTCACACAAAAATTGTGAGCAGAGCCCTTTCTTTCTGACACAGATGATTTGTTGAGGTGTCAAACCGCCACACTCTTGCGCCACCTACAGCACAGGAGGACTTACTCAATGTCACATTTTGTTTTCCTTCAGTATCAGTGGCTGGTATCGGGAGCCTCTACTGGTACCTTTTAAATAAGACTGGTATCGGCTTGATACCTTTTTATCGGTACTCGCCCATTTCTAATTTTTACACTTGATGGAAACAAATGTTTTAGACAAAACTACGCTAAATATTCTGAAATTACTAACACCTACCCAAAGGCTTTTAAATTTAAGATTGGCAAGACTCTGAGATAAAGTGTCATCGGTTCTCCCCCAGCTTCCTGTGCTGTGGACAACACCACTGCTAGTACATTCGTTTTTCATTCTACCGGTTGCCCTATTTGCGTTTTAAACGATTAATACTTTATATTTTGAGGGGCGGGGGGCATGAATTACTCGATGCCATTCGCGATGATTACTGGAATACAGCATCCACAAAATCAAACTACCCACATGGCTTTAATCCTCGTTTAGATGCTCACAAGTGATGTCATACAGTTTATTTTTCATCTTTAGTTTTGAGGCCTCACAAGTCAATTCTTGCCCTCGCATCCATGCGCAGCCCATCATGTCTGCTTTCTCTGTCAGTGACAGCAAGGCAGCCATCCCCCAGTCTCAAAGTCCCTTCTGTTGTCCCCCAGCCAGGCCACTAGTGACCAGAGGC